TGGGCTTATGTTTGTTTTTTTAATTTCGTTGTGTTGTGAGCTTATGTTTGCTTGTTTAATTTCGTTGTGTTGTGCACAACTGGTCCACCGTAAGTAACAGTGTATGAAGCACAGTTCACACAGAAGTCATTTTAAATTAGTCACTTTCTGTCACTTGATGGAGTTTGGTTTCCTTGCTACCATTGCCGTTGGCTTGCTTAGTTGTGGTCTAAAAGACAATTAATATTGAGTAATGTCGATTTGACGGCACTGACACTCAGATGAGAACATAACTTGAACTGAATTGAGCTAAATAATGATGACATTGTCTTCTGTAGAGCTGCTTTATTGTTTAATCAAATTTGTTCCTAATTCATTAATTTTGCAACATCAACACAGCTGTTGAACTGAAATGAATCAACACTCAAATGACTGGAGCTGAATAAAGACACTGCTGTCTTTAGTAGAGTAGCTTATCGCTGGATTGAACTTGTTTTGTAATGAATGAATTTTACACAGTTATAGCTGAATTAAATCAACACTGAACTGACCTGAACTGAATAATGACACTATTGTGTTTGCTTTATTTTTGACGTTTGCATAATTATGTTTTACTTTCCTGTGTAATACTGTGAAGCTGCTTTGAAACAATCTCTGTTTTATATAGCACTATAAAACGGTGACTTGACTGGATTGAAACAGCAATGCATCAACATTTTGCTAACTGAAAATATTCGGCCAAAACAAACAAAAAAAAAAGTAAAAGATAAAATTAATGAATGAATAAATAAATAAATAAAATTAAAACAAACAAACAAATAAACAAACAATCAAACAAATAAATGAATGAATGAATGAATAAATAAAATTAAAACAAACAATCAAACAATCAAACAAATAAATGAATGAATGAATGAATTAAGTTTCTCCGATGCCAAGCTTTCACTCTGTCAGCATCCATGTCGTGCACAAAATGTCGATAAGCTACAACAGGTCTACAACCAAAAATATACTAGATTAGCAATATATAATTTTTGATTACCTTGAAAATCAAGAGGCAGCTCACTGGTGGAAAAAAAAGACTACGACATGATTTATCAACAGCATACTGAGTTCAATTTTGTAAATTTAGTAACAAAAACTTAATTTTCTGTTTCAGTTTTGTAGCTAAATATAAACTTTGATTCCAGTTTCTGTGTTTTGGTACATACATACATACATACATACATACATTACATTCATAAAATTTGTTGCGTCACTACTTTCAAACAAAGAAACATTTTGTTGCTCAACACGGCAAATCCGTGTGACCAACTTGTACCCATTGCGAAATCCCTGATTCTATTGAAATAACTCAATTTAAACTTTGAACGTTTGCAGAACATTTGTTACACTCCACCAATGAAAGACGTCTTATGAAACAAGCCAGTTGGACTGGTGTCATCTCAAGGTCAAGGCCTCCAGCTGAGACACCTGAAAACATGCTGAAAACAGTAAATATAGATAGACACACAATTTTACTTTCATATAAAGAAAGGAAAAAATGTCAAATATTATTTCTTCCTAAATTCCTTATCGAAAATTTGATGTTATGTATTAGTTATAATACATTGTTGTCTGTTGTACAGTATTCATTTTCATAATTACAACTTGATTTCTCATATTTGCAATGTAATTTCTTGTTATTTGGGCATTTCATCTCATAATTGTGTCTCCGAAGACATTGGTGCCCCAGGGCCTTTCCCGAGGACCGCAATCCTTCTATGCTACCAGTGCAGGAGAAAAAGAAAGTGAGAGACGACAAAAAAATAAATGCGCAAAACCCACATACACTCATCTGTCGAGCTGTTGCTGTCAGGTTCAGGCCCAGTGGTTCTGTTAAGGTGACTATGACAGGAGGAAAGAGACGCCGCTCTGATAGGAGACATGCCCGAGAGGGCGCCATGCATCAAACGCACATATTTACATAAACAAATCCTCCCCATATAGACTGTAATTACCAATGTGACACAGCCATCCATAGAGGAGAAAAGAGCTTGTCTGTTAGCGACACATTCACAGTGACTGAGGTGGAAGCTCAATCAATGTGGCCACGTCGCTATAGCTGCTTTATGTGCACAGACCAAGTCCTTTGATAGGCTTTTGTACCATTACTGAATATATGGACACTATACATCATCATCTGAAAAGGTGCCTTCACCTCACACAGAGAAAGATAAAAGGAGGGATGCACACACTTTGTAACAAACACAATTGTGTGATGTTGAAAGATGCTCTTTGCGGTGAGGAAATAAGCATCGGCATAACCATAACCCTAACCGTGATTGGACACTATAGATTATCCTCTCTTTTTACATATATATATCCATTACATTTTATCACATAATGCTAGTTCTTTTGGGTTAGGAAAAAAAGTAAAATACTAGATATTACAACTTTTTGTGATATTGTGATCAGAATTTTGTGCTGTCCAAAAATAAGAAGTGATTATTTAATTGACATACACTACCGAAAGGTTTGGAATAATTAAGATTTTTAACAATTTTCAAGTTCTTGAAAGAAGTCTCTTATGCTCAACAAGGCTGCATTTACTCAATCAAATATACAGTAAAAACTATAATATTGTAAAATGTTATTACAACTTAAAAGATGTAATTTATTCCTGTGAAAGCAATGCTGAATTTTCAGCAGCCATTAGTCCAGTCTTCCGTGCACATGATCCATCGGAAATCATTATAAGGAAACGTGTGACAAATATGATGTGTTCTACAAAATATTACTCAAAATATCAAACATGGTTTATATCCATAGACTAGATGGAATCATAATCTGAAGCTAATAAAAAAAATGAGTGTTCATCATACACTGTATGATTTTCTGTGAAATCTGTCAACTCCGACTGGCCAAAATCCGAAGACTGCAAATCTAAGCAAAAGTTGTGTAGTTTATTCCAGTCTTTAAGTTCCAGGTAGACTAATAAAGAAGCCCGTATACCCTGGCTACTAGACGTTGATTAATGCCAACCAAACAAATTGGAACTGGTGATTTCATCCAACTCTTGCATTTTCGTGTGCAATATGCATCAGAAGTGGTAAACACTAAACAGACATTGGCAGTGCTACCTGATACAGCACGAGTATAATGTTGTTATTTTTCACATCTTTGTATACTCACTATCACCCACAAGAGATGACTGTGAAGTTGTAAAGAAGTTGTATGCTTAAGGAAGATCTGTGTTTTACCAGTGTTTTCTAGAGTTGGCTTAACACACATTTCTGTTTTCTGTGTTTGTGAAATGCAGGTGGGAGATGCAAGATGCTGCAGCACTGGAGGATGAAGAGAAGATTTTAGTGGATCAGTTAAAGAAAATATACTTCGACAACAGCCAAGAAACATAGCAAAGTCCCAGTGACTATATAACAGGAGAACCAAATGACCAGTGTAAAAAGTGTATGTACTGTAGCTACTAATAAGACTGTTAAAAGTGGATGTGCTGTGGATGTGAAATTACAGTTGCAGATCAGTAATAAACAAAAAACATTGTGAACTCTAATAAATCACAAGAAGGTTTTGATGAAATATGACTCCAACTCTGAATTGGATGCATGCACAATTGAAAACTGTACTCCACTGATGTGTTAAACAAATGATCATATAACAGTTATGAGGAAACTGATTTTGGAGCATTACTTGCTGGAAGTGGAAAATTACAGGAGGTGTTCTTTAGTTTCAGTCAGTCAATGAATGTAGAATAAAAAAAAAAATGCATGCATTATCTACACAAAGTATGATTATTGGAAAGAGATTCGTAACAACTCTTAATATAATCCGGGAGACCTTGTGGACTTTAAATGAGAAGTCCAATAGTGCTTTTGAATGCAGAAGTGTTTGCTGAGGCATAATGACTGTTGTGTCATAGTACAAAAAAATGACTGGCTTAAATACGTTTTTTTTTTTTACATTTTGAAATTTTTTGTATTTTTCTCTTTTCTGGTTTTATTTTAACTTTAGTTAAGGTTTTAGTAATTTTTTTAATGTCTATATAGTTTTCATTACTTTTTTAAAACTTAAATGTTTCAGTTATTTTAGTTCACCAAGATAAACTAAATAAAAACTAAACTAAATGAAATGAAATGTCACCATGGAAACTAGCGGAAATAAAATGAAATTTATAATAAAATGACATCCTTTGAGAAAATGCTATTTTTCTGTGATTTAACAACTTTTCAACGTGGCAACGTTATGTGGATTATGTTCTTATTATTTTATTATATTTATTTTTTCAAAAGTCTGCACTTCATTCACAGTGAAATATACACTGCATGAGATAATTATTGATTCATTAAAAGACGTGCATTTTCTTTTAGGAGATTGAAACGGTATTTTATGTATAGTACAAAAAAATGATATCAAAAACATTATTAGCTTTAGCTTATTGCCTGTTACTCTAATGGAAACGTTTGCATATCATATGTATCCGTACGTTTAGTACAGCTCTTCTGTGTCTGTGTGAAAAGCGGCGCTGTCTGTTTAAATCCCGCCAATCAGCTGGAACTTGTGTAACACGCTTCCGTTTCCGAGGAGACGGAAGCGTGTCTTCCTGTTTGGCAGAAGGAGGAAGCAGGATGTGTGAAATCTCACATGTGCTTGTTGTTATGGTACGTGAGCGAAGCGACATGCATGCAAATACATATTTAACTCTCCCACTGTCTTCGTCTAGCTCTTCAGCAGGGTGATCCGTATCGCTGTTTTAACTATCTGTGCTTTGTGAAGTTTTTCTCCCATTTGTGTGATGAGTAGTTGGTTTATAAACACTGGCTGGGGTCCATGCAGGGAATCCTTTACTATGTTTACATGCTCCGATCATGTCGCAAACTAACAGCAGATTGCTGTTTCCACTGTTTTTCTCGAAATGCAGACACTGAGGTTCAGGTGAATGTGAGTCTTTCACTTCAGCACGCTTGCTTTTAGACATGAAGCAAGCTGTTAGCTTAATGCTAGTTAACTTACCACCACTGTCATTGAAGTACGATTAGATTCAACTCAACGACTTATACGTTTGACTGCTTGCACACGAACAGATCAGAACGGTAACATCAGAAGCTAGAAACTTTAAAAGCTACATTGCCCAACAAGTAAACAATTTATCTGTCAATATTTATGTATTTCTTAATTTTAAAGTCAGTATATAATCAAATCATTATTAATGGTTATTTGCACTAATCAAAATTACATGTAGTTACCTATCATTAAATACATTTAATATATTATTATATTTTTGGTCAGCTGTTTGTCACAGGACAAGTGTACATTGTCCAAACATTATTGATTGTTATTGACAGTATTAATATTATTGAAACATGATTTAACTGATAAATCGAAACATAATATGCATTATAATATATCATAATCATATGTTTTAATGTTTTGTGATTGAATTGCATACGTTGTTTTAAAAAACGTTTTATTTACTATTTTGGTAACTCTTTAGAATAGGGAACACTTATTCACTATTAACTACGAAGTTTCCCTCAATAAATTCCTGATTTGCTGCTTATTAATAGTTAATAAGGTAGTTGTTAAGTTTAGGTATTGGGTAGGATTAGGGATGTAGAATAAGGTCATGTAGAATAAGGCATTAATATGTGCTTAATTACTACTAATAAATGGCTAATATTCTAGTAATATGCATGCTTATAAGCAACTAGTTAAGAGACCCTAAAATAAAGTGTTACCACTATTTTTATTATTTTAATGATTTGTGACACCTCTGTAGCAGTTTGACAACCAGTATAATGTTTGAAATATTTGAATTTTACTGCTTTATAATTTAGTAACTGTTATAGTTACTGTTGATATTACATTATCTATGTTTTTATAATGCATTAATAGAAATTTCTATCATGCTTTATATGCATTCATGGTAATGAATTTTCAGGCAAACTTTTTGTGATGGTGTTGTTACAATAAAGGTCATAGCATTGGAAGCTTGTTTGTTTGTTTGTGTATTTATATGTATTTATTCTTGATCAGGGTGACATGCAGTAATATTTCTGTAGTGGTGTGTCCATGCCTGTCAGAGCCAGCATCTTCCTCTTCTGTTTAGTTTGGATAACTATGGCCCAGCTCTTGGCACAAGAAGAAAAAGAAAAAACTACTGCACTAAAAGGTAAAGCCAGCAGTTATGAATACACACCGTGCGTGAATATACATACAAATAGAAATTAAATACAAATTAAATCACATGTGTGATTATTACATTTTTAAATTTAAAGCATTAATTCATCAATTTGTTTTCTAGATTTACTGTCCAGGATAGATTTAGATGAGCTGATGAAAAAAGACGAACCTCCACTGAACTTTCCTGAAACTCTGGATGAGTTTGAATATACCTTCAATGAGCGTAAGACCTTTCGCTTGTCTTTACTCTAAACATTTTTAGACACAATAAATTATTTCACACTGTGACAGTGTCATCTAGACCATCAAATAGCGCTTGGGCTTGTACTTTAATACCATGATTTTGTATCTTGTCTGTGGTTCTGAAGGTTTGAATGCATTAGAAGTGTGCAGAGGGTTTCATTGGATATTGACAGCAGGCAGCAGGCTGTGATAGCGCTGTCTGTTTCAGAGTCTCTGGAGTCTGTGGCAGCTGAATGGACAAGTTGTGCATGCTATGGGCTGTCAGTGGTTTACTCAGCCTTGTGCTCTGTTTGACGGCTAGATTTGCATAACCTTGCTCCTCTCTCTAAAACGCCTCCTGTTAGCGTCTGGAATACCTTATATCAGTCTCTCAGTGAAGAGTATCACTTTTATTCGATTTTATAAGAAAGTTTCATTTTGTAACTTCTTTTCCCATTCTCTGAGATGAATGTAAAATGGCCATTGAGCCAAAGAATAGTTCTGAACATTAGCTTTTTAATGCAGGGTTTTTGTCACTTTGCTCAAATTGGATACAGAATAGGTCAGCCAATAGAGTGCAGAGCATTTAGAAAATGTTCATCGTTAAACTAAACATTATACGAGCCAAATGCAGATCTGTGTAAATGTGTAAATATAGTTTAAATCCTTGATTTGAGTGATGTTATTTTCTAGCAATAATTCAGAGTGGATACAAAAAAGTCAACTAATGAGTGCATAGCCTTTAGAAAATGTTGATGGTTAAACTATATTATATGAGACAAATACCAACTGGACATATGTAAATATAGTTTAAAACCTTGATTTGAGTGAAAATTATTAAAACAAATTTAAAATATTAATATTATTATTACTATTATTTTAGTAATTTGTAATCATTTATAAGATTTATAAGTAAAATTCTGTCAAGATTACTTGCAGTTTTTGCCTAAATTAAGTTTTAATTAACTAGGGATAGATAAATATTTACAATAAATTAAAGTAAAATATTTTTATAATAATTTTAATAATTAATTTCAATAACTTTGGTAACAGGGTTAAATGGTAGAGAATGGGACATCACAGTGTACCCTATTTGTGGAAACTGCTTTTTAGTTTTTGTGCATTTTTTCTCTCCTCTTTTTTTTTTTTTTTAAATCAGTGATCTAATGAGATAACCCTACAAGAAATACATATGCATTTGAAATGAATGTTTTTTCCCCCTTCCCAAAATCATGTGGCATGATGACTTCATCCCAGTCCGCCTTCAGCTCGTTCATTACTGAAATCCAAGGTTATGTATACCTCATTAAGCTAAAAATTGAGAAAGCATGCTAATTATGCCAGGTTAAAGCAGGGAGAATAAGTTGAAGGGGGATATTCCTCAGAGAGCCTGTGTTATGAAGACGATGGAGCTGAACATCCACTGCATGTTGGTTTCATTAGATCCCCTCTTCCTTCTGGTAGTAGTGTTTCTCTTCACCCCTTTGTGAAAGCATAATTAATTTTTAAGGGTACTTCCTTTTTTTTTTTTTTTTTACACTAGCGCAT